AGAAAGGAAATAAAGCACTGAAATGATAGAACTTTGATGTGTAAAGAACTTAATGTCGAAAGAAGTTAATTATCTAAATCATCAAACAAAATAGGTACAGGAAATAATTATTTTAAAGATTCTAATGAGCTATCAACTTATGTCAAGAAAAATGTTATTCACCTGTTTGATTTAAAAATTAAGTAACTTGACTGTGGAAGGATGATCATGGTTATAATAAGCTATGATTGGGACCTTTTACCTCTTACCAATAAATACTCTTGATGTGAAACATTTGCAGTAGGAGGACAGCTGAAGAAAGCTGTGGTTTTAATATGAATTTACTTGTGAATTGTCTTCTCCTTAGAGTGTGTTAGAACAGGGTGACTGGGTTTACAGCATGAAACGGGCAGATTGCTTCAACAGTGTCTCAGGACATTTGGCCGCAGGATAATCCCACAGAACGGCATGTCTTCAAGTCTTACAGGAGCGAACTAAACCATAACTGCTTTTGGAAGCTAGGCTTAATACACAATCTTTGGGGGTAACATTTTCTTCAGGATATCAAATTGCTCAGACAGTCTTCTGTTGGAACAATAAGGGAAACATTTTCTAAGGTCCTTGAGAAAGTCAGGTTTCTTTTTTAGCATTTTGTTCTGATTCTGGAAGTTCTTGGTTTCCTGTCTATATTCTCCCAGTCTTGGATTGGTGATGTGATATTTCTTTAACTGAGTTTCAAGTGGTGATCTTTCTTTTCTCTGTTATTTGCAGAAAAATATTTATCCCAGAAAGCTTTGTGAAAAAAATTTAGGCTTAAAAAATGTGATGGTCTGCCATAGCATTAGCTTCTTTATGAGTTACAGAATTTTGGTTTTCAGGCTCAGTTTGAGTGAAACTTTTTTCCTTCTCTTTCTTTGCTCTTGCATTTTCTATGTGCTGGTTTTGGCCTGGCCCTCAGGGCCCTCAGACTAGCCTAGGGCTTATGTTGGCAGGTGACACGTCCTGCCACAGAAGGATATTGAGATATTTCACATCTAGCCACCGAGCCAGTGTGCCCTTGTTTTAGATCTCTGTCCTGTTACCTTCTCAAAAGCTTTAAATTTGGCCTGTCTAGGCGGTGCTTTGTATTAGTTTTTTTTCCCTCCAGCTACCTTGCATGGGGCCCAGCCCTTCCATCCCAGCTCTTGGTGAATGGTCCTGGTTCAGGTTTCCTTTATTAATTTTAGCCAGCATTGCCCATAGAAGTGGTCAAATTAGAGGATGTACTAAGATGTATAAATTTGGCAGCGATGTGGAGAATAAACTGAGATAGAAAGAAAGAAGCTATAAATAGAGCTCATAGAGAGTCATAGGGTAGAAAAGAGGGGGAAGATGGGGGAGATATAAGAACATAAAATAGAATTCATTTGGCTTCCCATAGATTATAGGGTGCTGGAGAAGGAGTCAAAGAGAACTACTGAGGTTTTTGAGATAGGGTGACCAGTAGCAGTAGTGATGTCAGTAGTGAAAACAGAACTTATTTTATAAGGAAATTATTATACTTAAAATTTGTTGAGTTGCATTAAACTTTTTCAGTGAAAATATTCAAGTTTCTTAAATTTTTGTGATTATGAAATGAGGGTAATCTAAATTTATCATATAAAAACTTTTAGCAAATTGAGAGAGAGAATACTTAAGATCTGTTTATAATAATAGCTAATGTGTGCTCAGAACTGTTCTGATTACATTAGTTCATTTAATCCTGACAATACTGAGAGGGTGAAATTATTATTCTCATTTTACAGATGAGGAAACTAAAGCACAGAGAAACTAAGTAATTGGCCCAAAGTACTTTTATAGTAGCAGACCTGGGATTTAAATCTAGGCAGTCTATCTCCAGACTCTTCCTAGTTTACTTAAAGTTCTTAGTACTGCTTTATTTTATTACTTGTTCTAAATATAATTCTTTTCTAGAATCTGAAAAGTATTTTTACTTTAGAGTATTGCAAGGTTTATATGACCATGAATTAATAGCTAACATTTATTGAGCACTTATTGTGTAATAATTCAGGTTTTTATTTATTTTCATTGTTTTAATGTTATTTTTACAAATTCTTGTTTATGGGACTGCCACATGCATTAAATAAAATGGGATATATTAAGATTGTCATCTAGTTCTCCCATGATGCCTTAGCTTAATTTTAATAGGAAAAATGTCACTCAATTTAGAAGATGGGGGTGTAGGTAGACACACTTTAATTCCTTGCACACCGCAAAAAGAATAAAAAAATTACAACTAAATCTTAAAACAACACCCAGAACTGTCAGAAAATGGAACTGTATGGAAGTCTGACAAACAAGGATTTAAAGAAGCTACAATTATTCAGATGGGTAGGAGGGGTGGTGACGCGGGGTGGCATGGAGAGGCCGTGGTGTAGGTGGAATAGTCATAGGTGTTCCCACGTTTATGTGTGGTGGCTAAAAATCAGGAGGGATATCTTGGGAGCAAGAGATCCCAGCCCCAGGCCAGACCACACAGCCCAGGGTTCCAGTGCTGGGAAGATAAATCCCCATAACTTCTGGCTGTAAAACTCAGTGGGGGTTGGGGCAGCAGAAGAAGCTGCAGGGTTTTCTGGAAACTTTGCTGAACAGTCTCAGCTCTTCAGCAAAGGATCTGCACGGTCTTAAATTGTGTGCAAAGCCACCCATTCCGGATTCAACACCAGGGAAACAGCAGGCTGGGTGCCAGTCCCATGTACTGGGAGTGGGTGAAGTGTCTGGAAAAGGGCAAGTGCTGGGCAGACCATAGAAGCCAGGCAGTGGCACAGTCCCCTTCCTGAGGCCTCCCCATACACAGAGCCAAAAAGCAGTGAAGCAGGTTGCCACACCCTGGTGATTACCTGAGGCTCTGCCCCACAGAATGTACAGGTGCCTTTTACAGGGAGTCAAAGCAGCTCTACCTAATAGATACAGACACAGGTAGATTGCCAAATTGAGGAGACAAAGAAATATGGCCCAAATGAAAGAACAGAACAAAACCCAGAGAAAGAACCAAAATGAAACAGAGATAGCCAACTTATCAGATGCATAGTTCAAAACACTGGTGATCAGATGCTCAGAGAACATTGAATATGGCAACAACATAAAGGAAGAAGAAAAGGCTACACTAAGTGAAATAAAGAAAAATCTAAAGGGAACCAATAGTGAAAGGAAGGAAGCCGGGGTTCAAATCAGTGATTTGGAATATAAGGAAGAAAAAAACATTCAATCAGTACAGCAAGAATTAAAAATAATTAAAAACACAAACAAGGATAGTATAAGAAGATTCTGGGACATCTCCAAATGTGCCATCATCTAATCATAGGGATGTCAGAAGGAAATGAGGAAAAGCAAGAAATTGAAAACTTATTTGAAAAAAATAATGAAAGAAAACTTCCCTAATTTGGCAAAGGAAATAGATATACAAGTTTAGGAAGCACAGAGTGCCCAACAAGTTGTACCCAAAGAGGAACACACCAACATACATCATTAATTAAAATTCCAAAGGTTAAAGATTAAAGAAAGAATCTTCAAAGCAGCAAGAGAAAAGGAGACAGTTACCTACAAAGGCATTCCCATAAGACTATCAGCTGATTTCTCAAAAGAAATTTTACTGGCAAGAAGTATTCAAAGTGATGAAAAACAAGGATCCACAACTAAGATTACTCTATGCAGCAAAGCTATCATTTAGAATGGAAGGACAGACAAATACTTCCCAAAGTAAAGGTAAAGGGGTTTATCATTACCAAGCCATTATTACATGAAATATTGAAGGGTCTTATTTAAGAAAAAGAAGATAAAAACTATGAACATTAAAAAGGCAACACATTCACAACTATCTAAAACAACTGAATCTAAAAACAAAAACAAAACAACCAGAACAGGAACAGATTCACAGAAATGGAGATGATTGGGAAGGTCATCAGTGGGGAGGGGGAAGAGGAGAATGGGGGAAAAGGTATAGGGAATAAGAAGCATAAATGGTAGGTACAAAATAGACGGGGGGATGTTAAAAATAGTATGGGAAATGGAGAAGCCAAAGAACTTACATGCATGACCCATGGACATGAACTAAGAGTGGGGGAATTGCTGGAAGGAAAGGGCGTACCAGGCAGAGGGTGGCAAAGGGAGAAAAGTTAGGACAACTGTAATAACAATCAATAAACTATACTTAGAAAAAAGAAAAAGTCACACAATTTAAAATTGATGAATTATATAACTGTAAGATTATAAAGTATAACAGTAGTTCTGATCTACTGATTGACTTTATATTATTTGTATTTTAGGGTTTGGTTCCTGTAGGAATTGGATTGTGCTGTTGTTTTTTCACTGTATGCCTTACAGTTGTGCAACTCTTTTTTGAAACGAATCTCATTATGTATAAAATCAGAGTTGTTCTGGATGGAATCGACTAGGTATATACACTTATATGCTTGGGGGCCACTAGGAGACAATCTGTGGCCTCCCTGGAACACATTTTGAAAACCACTGAGCTCTATTAAAATATTTAATGAGTATTTTCCTTACATTACTCACTGCAAAATATCAGAATGTTTTATCACTCAAGTGTGTAATTTTTGATATCATACATGGCTAAGCAGTTCTTTCCCACTTTATTATTTCATTTTAATAAAGAATGTTAAGTATAAACAAATCAGATTTACATGCAATGAGAAATTTAAAATTTTCTGCCCTGGCTGGTGTAGCTCAGTGGATTGAGCACAGGCCTGCAAACTAAAAGGATCAGGTTCGATAGCAATCAGGGAAGCACATGCTTGGTTGTGGGCCAGGTCCCTGGCGGGGGGGCTTATGAGAGGCAATCACACATTATGTTTCTGTCCTTCATTTTGTCCTTCCCTTCCCCTCTCTGTAGAAAATAAAATCTTTAAAAAATAAAAAATTAAAAAATTTCTGTACTTTTTGAAGTAATTTATAATTGCTTTTATTTTCCTTACATTTATTTATGTTTAAGCATATTTTGTGTTATTTTTCTTTTTATTTAGATGAATAATACTGCAGCCAGCCCAATGTCTGCTGCCACTTCGAGTAGTGGAAGAAATATAGGGAAGTCTTCAAGCTTTGCCTCAGAATTGCAGAGTATGATGTAAGTATGTCTCTGTATCTTTCTTACTAATACATTAAAATTATTCATGTTGGTAAAAGACAATGGAAATAACAAAATTTATAAAACTTAACTGGGAAACTTGTACTTAAGTAAAAATGAAATTGATAATATTTCAAATAGCCATATGCAAACAAAAGAAACAACATTAAAAATGCTACGTTACTGTATTAGAAAAGTATGTATTGGTTTATCTTTATAAAAGAATGAATAATTATGTAAATTTTTTGCCCTAATTATTATCTGTGTTATGAGTTTATTACTATTTTGATTTTAGATTTAGAAAATTTTGGTACAGATTATAATCTGGGATAGTTGAAATGTTTTCACAGAGTTCTCAGTTTTTCTCAAATGTCACAGTAATTCTGTTAGCCTAATGTAAGTTAGTTTTTAGTTTTGATAATATTTGAAATCAGGGTATTTCAGAACATTGAGAAATAGAACATTTAAAAAACACATTGTTTTGAAAAGTTGCACCGTCACTGAGATTTCTTTCCTAAGGCCCCTTTCAGCTTAATTTCTGGCTTCTTGCCTTGGGACTGCGTATCTTGATTTAATGGGAGATAGCATATTTATTAGCAATGTCTGCTGACACATACTCGTTTTTCTTTATTATTGATTCAGGAGATAATTGTATACATAAGGGGACAACACACTAGAGATTTTCTCCTATTGACATGTCCAGTGCTTTTAAAAGAACCTTTTGAAGGTTTAAGTGTCTTCCTTTTGATGTTACGTGTTGATAGCCTTCAGAGTGGATTGACTCCACTGTATGATATTTATTGTTCTAAGAAAAAATGAATTTGAGTATGAATCTAATATTTGCTTGTGAACATACTTTAAACGCCATTGAAGACATTCAGATCATAGGTTCTCAAATTTTTTGCTCAGACTCGCTTTGCACTCTTAATTATTGAAGATCTTGAATAGCATTTGTTTATGTGGGCTGTATCTATTAATATTTATTGCCTAGAGTTGAAAACTGAGAAAAATTATTTAATTCATTTGACAAAATAAACCTATTATATGTTAACATAGTATTTACCCTACAAAGTAATTATATTCTAAAACAAAAATTGGAAACACATTTTGTTAGATAAGAATAAAATAAATGTATTACTTTAGGAATTGTATGAGGTGAGACTATTTTAAATTATGGAAAAATTTTAAGGGTTAATGCTTATGTATACTTTTATTATATACACTTTATTGGTTTAAGTTGTTAAGCTTTTTCCATTATAGTTTAGTAAGTTTACTTTGGGAAACTTTTATATTGTGTATTATGTTAATTATATTTAAAAACATTAAATGTGTTTTAGATGGTTTATAGTAAAGTGAGGAAATTCATTTTCCTGTAGAGTCAGTTTACTGATTTACTTTGTGTTTTAAAACATACTATATATAGTATATATTATAGAGAACAGTTTAATGAACCCATGCATCCATCACCTGGCATTAACAATACCTGTGTTTTGCTATTCTTAGTTAACCTTTACCCTCCACTCTCCATGGTTTCTTAATGCAGTATTTTACAGCACATTTCAGACATCATATTTTATATTTGGTTGTATTTATTAAAACAATGTATTTGTTGTTAGGTAAAGAGTATGCTCTACAGCAGTGGTCAGCAAACTATGGCCATGGGCCCATAGACTGGCTGCTTGTTTTTGAAAATAAGGTTTTATTTAGTTGTCAATTATCTATCTCTACTTTTACGCTACATGGTGGAGTTGAGTATTTGTGATAGAGACCACATGGCCTGTAAAGCTGGCCCTTTATGGAAAAAGTTTGATGCTTGATCTCTAGAAATGGCTATCTATAGGAAGAAAGCTGTATTTTCTTTTTGTCATTTATACTTAGGAGAAGTTCTGCTTAGTGCATTTGATAGACTGCAGGCCACTTAAGAAAACTGAGAAAAAAGAAAATAAAATCTAAATTCAGCACTTTCTTATTAAATACTTTTACATCTTCCCAACTAATGTGCTTAAGCTGGATTCAGAATGCAAAAGTTATTGTTGGCTACAGTTTTGGAAGAAATATACATTTTCCTTCTATTTCAGACCTCATAGAGAGGCCACTCCTCATAGTTACATTCATCATTTATAGTTTGAGTTATTTTTTTCCCCTTATGAATTGCTTCACAGAGCAAAAAAGTAGGGCCAAAATTAGAGGAATACCTTTTAATTTACCAATATTTTCTGTTGGTATAAAGTTTTCAGGCTTTTTAAAAAATATACGATTAGAATCAATGGATATTTGATTCTTGCTTATGTGATTTCAAGTGAGAAAGTGTAGACTTAAGTCCCTGCATTTATTCTCTGTAGAAATTTCATTCTGTGAATACCTTTCTTTTTGTTTTCCTGCAGTTTCACAGTTCTAAGACTGTACTGTATTGCATTGCTCTCTTTTTAATCATCTACTGCTGCTGTCTTCCCCTTTTTTCTCTTGGGTCACAGCCCTCTAAATAAGTAGCAGTATTGTAGCATCATTTCCAGAGAATGATTTCAGGTGTGTAGTTGTCAAGCACAATTGAAATTGTCATGATCTGCTATTAAATATAGAACTGGCAGCCAGTCTGTTCTGCTATTGGAGCCTTGATAGAATTGACCATATTTTAAGTTTGGGTGGTAAATACTGCCAGTGAAGCGTTCTTTAGGAAGTGCTTCTACAGATTTTAAATGAAAGGATTAGCAGTCAAACAAAAGCAAGTGGGATGGGGATGACAGCAGCTCTCCCTTACCTAGTGCTTACAACTGAGCTCATTTGCCATATGCTACTTATCTCAGCTCTTTGAATGATGTGTGCTGGAAGGGTCCTGAGATTTTTCATTTTTAAGTTACTGAACCTAAGTGGCCTGTAAATGAGAAATTGACATCTTTTCAGTTCACATTGCAGGTATTTTAACAAACTTCTTGAGAATTTTTAATTTAAGCGTACTTCGAGAAGTCTTCATTGAACTGTCTTTCTTATTTATATATTTCTTGACTTGTATTAATTTTTTTCAGGTTTATAGATCTGGTGATGATGCCAAAGTTTCACTTCTAGGTAACATTTAGTAATTCTCATGTGATTACATTTTTGAAAAAAGAAGAAGGATTTTGTTACTTATATTTTGTAAGAATTCTTCCAAATGAAAATTTCAGCCTTATTTAAAATCCACAGATTGAAAAATAACTTTGTAAAATTTAATTGTACAGTTCTGCAAGTTTTGCAGTTTAAAAAATGAACATTTGTTGAGCCCATACATGATGGCACCTAAATGCCTGTATGTCTAACAGTAGAGAAGGTTGTAGAGACAGATAATTGTCTTGTAGCAGGATGCAACAAGTGCCACAGTAGTGCAAAGGAGGAGGTGATGAACTTTGGAGGGGAAGCTTCCTAACTTCAGGTCTGTCTTTCTGATTGCTTCCTGGGATGTCCATGAAGTATTCTTGAACACCTGAAACTTAGTATGTTCAAAACCAAACTAATAATTTTCTCAATAAGATTTGCTCCTTTTGGGATTTTTTGGGGATATTTAGCAACAAGTATTCACTATGCACTCAACTAGGGCATAGTTGCATGTGTGAAATGGTATCAGTTGGCTTTAGCACTTTGAAGTTATGAGTTATATAGAAGAATGTTACCACTTCTACCCTTACCTCAATCTAACTTTAAAGAGACTTAATATGTCTCTTTAAAATCAATGTACATGTTAAATTCTTTTAAATATATGAGTTAGTAAGAGACGGTTAGTAAACTGACACAAGGTTCCTTCAAATACTGAATTTTGGCAGTTCTTTAAGCTTTCCAGAAAACTGGAGGAAGGAAAAATTACTAAAGGTAATAAATGTTAACATTAATATATTATAATTCCAGAGATGCTTTAATAATATTGTTGATAATAGTGAATGCTTGTATAGAGCATAATATGGACCAGGCACTCTCCCAAGTATTTCCGTGTACCATTTTTAATCCTCATACAACCTTATGAGGTAGATGCTGTTATTTCCCTTTAATGGATGAGATACTTGAGATATAAAGGTTAGTAACACACCCAAAATTGCCATTATAGTAATTGGTAAAACCTGGATTCAATCAGAAAGTGTAACTTCAGAGTCCATGCTTTTGACAAATTATGCTACATTACATTTCAATCAATTAAACTTTTGATTTACAAAATTTAGTGAACAAATGAACTTTTACCATTGTAGATGTGACTAGTGTATAAAGTAATAATGTGAAAGATAAATAATTGTTTAATTAATTACCATTACTAGTAATGAGGTCTAATTTTTATAAGAAGTAAAAATTAAATTATTGAATTAAATTATTTTTATATTATCATAGTATTTAATTCAATTTCCTAAACCTAATCACCAAATCTTCTTAAACAAGGCCATATTAGTAATGAAGAGAAAGTATAATTTTTCATAGAAATGATGTACTCAAGTGTATTGATTGCTCATATTTGTAATATTTCATAATTTTGGATATCAGCATGACCACACTGTTGGTGAATATTTAAATGCTTGTCTTACTTTTATATTTTATCACTATGAAATATTTTAATTCCTTATATTTACATTACACTAAAATATGTGCATAAACTTATCCTTGTACTTTCTGTGAAATGCGTCTGTTAAGATACACACTGGTTTATAAATGTAACAAATATGAAGAGGATTTTCAAATTAAAATAATAATTTGGTCAAGGTTTTTGCTGACAGTGAGAAAATGTATGTAAAAGCTGTATATTAGGTGTGTATTTCTAACTTTTTTAGTGTTACATGTATGATGACAGTGAACTTTTATATTTAGATACAGATCTATCTCCTTCCTGGACCAGTTTCCTTCTCTCCACCCCCCTTTTCTTCTTTGAGCATTAGGACAAATTTCTTTAAGGTTTTTGATGACCTTCCATAAAGGCTTTAATGAGCGATAATTCCAACTACGGTATGCCTTGCATATTGAGTAATGTGATATATATAACATATATTATT